ACCCCGCTTCCAAAAATCGCTATAAATATAAAACGCCATGATCCGCCTTTAGCGGCAGGCGAAAAAGAAAAGGGGGGGGGGGGAAGAAGCGATAAATGTGGGGTTTCCCCCCCTTTTTTTGCTCGTTTTTGCGCGTTTTAACGCCTTTTCCGCCTTGTTTTCCACGGGGTGCGTTGGTTTTTGGGCGTTTCGGAGGCTTTTTTACCGTTTCGGGCCGGTTTTTATACGCTTTTTCTACCCCGCTACGAGGTGTGTGCATGGGGGGGGGGGGGGGGGCTCCGAACCTTCCCTTCGGCCATTTTAAGCTCTTTTTACTCCTTAAAAACGCGGCTCAAAACGGGGGGGGCGCGGGGTTTTTGGGGCGTTTTCCCCCTTTTTAACCCTTTTTCTTCCTTTCCCAGCCGTTATTTTCGCTTTGTTTTGATATTTTTACCTCAGAAATCGCTGTTTTGTGTCGGGGGGGGGGGTCGCGTTGAGGCGCGCGCTTTCTCGCCGCCATCTTCCCCCCCCCCCCCCCCCCAATAACGTTAACCCCCGCGTTGTTTCTGACAGGATTTTCAGCGTTTTTTCGCGTTTTTCCGCGTTTTTCCGCGCTGAAAGCAACGTCTCCCGACGGGCACGGTGGGGTGAAGCGAAAAGGGGGGGGTTATAACACACACACACACACACAAGGGGCTCCGCCTTCACCTCCGGCCCCCCCCTTCCCCTCCTCTCTTCAGCCCCGCCATGGCTTCCCCTCTGAGGGAGGACGAGGAAGAGGAGGAGGAGATGGTGGTGTCGGAGGGGGACGAGGAGGACGACGACGAGGACGAGGAGGAAGACGACGACGAGGAAGAGGACGACGACGACGCCGCCTCGCTCCTGGGCCTGGCCGCGGGGCACCGGGGGGGGCCCGGGCCCGACATCTTCCCCCCGACGCCTCCCGCCCCGCCGCCGCCGCCGCCGCCGCCGCAGCCGCCTCCGCCTCCGCCGCCGGCCCCCACCGCGCCCCTGCCCGCAGCGGGGCCGCAGGCAGGTACGGGAACGGGAACGGGAACGGGTGAGGGAACGGGAGAGGGAACGGGAAAGGGAACGGGAACGGGAGCGGGAGCGGGAACGGGAGAGGGAGAGGGAACGGGAGAGGGAACGGGAACGGGAGCGGGAACGGGAGAGGGAGAGGGAACGGGAAAGGAAACAGGAGCGGGAACGGGAACGGGAGTGGGAACGGGAGCGGGAGAGGGAACGGGAACGGGAAAGGAAACAGGAGCGGGAACGGGAACGGGAGAGGGAGAGGGAACGGGAGCGGGAACGGGAGAGGGAACGGGAGCAGAAACGGGAACGGGAACAGAAACGGGAAGGGGAGCGGGTGATTGAACGGGTGCGGGAGCGGGTGAGGGAACGGGAGAGGGAGAAGGAACGGGAGAGGGAACAGGAACAGGAACGGGCCCCGACGTGGCCCTCCGGTCCCTTCCGTTCACCCCCCATTGCCCCTCCATTCCCTTCCATTCCCCCCATTCCCCCCCATTCCCTTCCATTCCCCCCCATTCACTTCTATTCCCCTCCATTCCCCCCCATTGCCCTTCCATTCCCCCCCATTCCCCCCCATTCACTTCTATTCCCCTCCATTCCCCCCCATTGCCCTTCCATTCCCCCCCATTCCCCCCCATTCACTTCTATTCTCCATTCCCTTCCATTCCCCCCCATTCACTTACATTCACCCCCATTCCCCTCCATTTCCCCCCTCATTCCCCACTGGTCCCCTCCTCCATTCTCTTCCATCACCCCCTATTTCCACCTCTTCCCCCCCATTCACCCCCATTCCCCCCCCATTCCCTTCCACTCACCCCCATTCCCCTCCATTTCCCCCATCGTTCCCCACCGGTCCCCTCCATTCTCTTCCATCCCCCCCCCGTTTCCACCTCTTCCCCTCCATTCCCCCCCATTCCCCTCCATTCTTTTCCATTCTCCCCCATTCCCTCTCCATTCCATTCCATTCACCCCCATTCACTTCTATTCCCCCCATTGCCCCTCTGTTTGCCCCCCATTCCCTCTATTCCCCCTCTATTCCCCCTCCATTCCCCCTCCATTCCCCCTCCATTCCCCCTCCATTTCCCCCTCCATTCCCCCTCCATTCCCCCCCATTCTCTTCTGTTCCCCCCGATTTCCACCCATTTCCCCCTATTCCCACTCCATTCCCCCTCCATTCCATTCACCCCCAGTTCCTTCCATTCCCCTCCATTCCCCCTCAATTCCATTCCATTCCCCACCATTCCCCCTCTATTCCCCCCCATTCCCTTCCATTCCCCCCCCATTGCATTCCATTCCCCCCTATTCCCCCCCGGTCCCTTCCATTCCTCCCCCCATTCTCTTCCATTCCCCTCCATTCCCCCTCTATTCCCCCCCATTCCCTTCCATTCCCTCCATTGCATTCCATTCCCCCCTATTCCCCCCCCAGTCCCTTCCATTCCCCCCCCATTCCCATCCCCCCCCCTTCCCCCCCATTCCCAGTCCCATTCCCCCCACTCGGCCTTTGGGGGTGTTCCATTGAGGGGCTGTTTGTAAACAGCCATCTCGACGTGTGGGGATTGGGAATGGGATCCAGTGGGATCCAGTGGGATTCAGTGAGATCCAGTGGAATGCAATGGGATCCAATGGGATGCAGTGGAATCCAGTGGGATTCAATGGGATGCAATGGGATCCAGTGGGATGCAATGGGATCCAATGGGATGCAATGGAATCCAGTGGGATTCAATGGGATGCAGTGGGATGCAGTGGGATGCAGTGGGATTCAGTGGGATCCAGTGGGATCCAGTGGGATTCAATGGGATGCAATGGGATTCAATGGGATCCAGTGGGATTCAATGGGATGCAATGGGATCCAGTGGGATTCAGTGGGATGAAATGGGATCCAGTGGGATTCAATGGGATGCAATGGGATTCAGTGGGATTCAATGGGATCAAACTGGCTCTGGTTCCCCCCCCACCAGCACCAGGCCTAGTAACGGAGGCAGCGCGGCCCATTGGTGCCTAATGGGGCTGGATGGTGCCTATGGGGCTGGATGGTGCCCGTGGTGTGGGGCTATAGGGGCCTATGGGGCCTATAGGGGTGGAGGTACCCCATGGTGTGGGACTATCGGGCCCTATGGGTCCCAGTGGGGTTGTTGTACCCCATGGTGTGGGGCTGTAGGGCCCTATGAGTTCCAATGGGGTTGTTGTACCCCATGGTGTAGGGCTATAGTAGCCTATGGGGCCTATAGGGGCTGTTGTACCCCATGGTGTGAGGCTGTAGGAACCTATAGGGGCTATTGTGCCCCATGTTTAGGGGCTATAGGGGCCTATGAGGGCTGTTGTACCCCATGGTGTGGGGCTGTAGGGGCTGATGGAGCCCATATTGGTTGTTGTACCCCATGGTGTGGGGCTATAGAGGACTGGGGGGGGGGGGTGTTGTGCCCCATGGTACAGGACAATAGGGGCAGTTGGGGGGCTGTTGTACCCCATGGTGTGGGGCAATAGAGGCCTATGGGGGGGTGGTGTGCCCCATGGTGTGGGGCAATAGAGGCCTATGGGGGAGTGGTGTGCCCTGTGGTACAGGGCAATAGGGACAGTTGGGGGGCTATTGTACCCCATGGTGTGGGGCAGTAGTGGCCTATGGGGGGGGGGGTGTGCCCCATGGTGTGGGGCAATAGAGGCCTATCGGGGGGGAGGTTGTGCCCCGTGGTGTGGGGCAATAGGGGCTGATGGAGCCCATATTGGTTGTTGTGCCCCATGGTGTGGGCCTATAGGAGTCTATGGGGGGTGTTGTGCTCCATGTTGTGGGGCAGTAGAGGCCTATGGGAGAGGGATTGTGCCCCATGGTTTGGGGCAATAGGGGCAGTTTGGAGCCCCGTGGGGGTGCTGTACCCTATAGAGAAGCAGTTGGGGGGCTGATGGAGCCCCTTTTGGTTGTTGTACCCTATAGTGTGGGGCAATAGGGGCAGTTGGGGGGCTGATGGGGCCCATGGTGTGGGGCAGTAGAGGCCTATGGGGCCCATATTGGATGTTGTACCCCATGGTGTGGGGAAATAGGGGCAGTTTGGAACCCCATGGGGGTGTTGTACCCCATAGAGAAGCAGTTGGGGGGCTGATGGGGCCCATGGTGTGGGGCAGTAGAGGCCTATGGGGCCCATCTTGGATGTTGTACCCCATGGTGTGGGGCAATAGGGGCAGTTTGGAGCCCCATGGGGGTGTTGTACCCCATAGAGAAGCAGTTGGGGGGCTGATGGGGCTCCTGGTGTGGGGCAGTAGAGGCCTATGGGGCCCATCTTGGATGTTGTACCCCATGGTGTGGGGCAATAGGGGCAGTTTGGAGCCCCATGGGGGTGTAGTACCCCATAGAGAAGCAGTTGGGGGGCTGATGGGGCCCATGGTGTGGGGCAGTAGAGGCCTATGGGGCCCATATTGGATGTTGTACCCCATGGTGTGGGGCAATAGGGGCAGTTTGGAGTCCCATGGGGGTGTTGTACCCCATAGAGAAGCAGTTGGGGGGGGCTGATGGAGCCCCATATTGGTTGCTGTACCCCACAGTGTGGGGGCTGATGGAGCCCATATCGGTTCTTGCGCCCCATGGAGTCACTTGGGGGGCTGACAGGGTTGCTGTACCCCTTGGGGTGGGGCAGTGGGTGCTGTTGGGTGCCCGACGGGCGCTGCGGTGGTTGTTTCACCCCATGGTGCGGCTGTTGGGTGCCGATGGTACCGAAGTGTCACCGTTACCCCCCTCAAACCCTCTTTAGGATGCTCCCACAGCGTTTGATAGCGTTTGGTAGCCTCTGATTGTCACTTTTGGGTGTATTTGGCGCTGTTTGGACCCAAAATTGCCTGTTTCTGGGCCAAATTCCAGGGGTTTTATGCTTTTGGATGGGATTTGGAGGGGGTTTTCCCTGCTTTGGCCCACAGTGACCGGTTGGCATCAAGAATCGATGCTCAAGTGGATTCGTTCGCTCTAAAACACCCAAAAATGGGGAAATGGGGGCTTTAGACCCACTTTTTCCCCCTTAAAATGCACAGAAATGGGTAAATTTGGGTTTCAACCCCCTCCTTTTCCTCTTAAACCCTCAGAAGTGGGTAAATTTGGGCTTCAGATGCCTCTTTCCCCCCAAAAAAACTCTCAGAAATGGGTGAATTTGGGTTTGAAACCCCTCTTTTCCATCCCAAAACCACTCAGAAATGGGTAAATTTGGGTTTCAAACCCCTCCTTTTCCCCTTAAACCCTCAGAAATGGGTACATTTGGGTTTCAGACGCCTCTTTTCCACCCCAAAACCGCTCAGAAACGGGTGAATTTGGGTTTGAAACCCCCCTTTTCCTTCCTAAACCGCTCAGAAATGGTTGATTTGGGGTTTTGATCCCTTATTCCCCCAAAAAACTGCTCAGAAACGGGTGAATTTGGGTTTGAAACCCCCCTTTTCCTTCCTAAACCGCTCACAAACGGTTGATTTTGGGTTTTGATCCCTTATTCCCCCCCAAACCCGCTCAGAAACGGGTAAATTTGGGTTTCAAACCCCTCCTTTTCCCCTTAAACCCTCAGAAATGGGTACATTTGGGTTTCAGATGCCTCTTTTCCACCCCAAAACCGCTCAGAAACGGGTGAATTTGGGTTTGAACCCCCCTTTCCCCCCCCCAAAACCACTTGGGAACGGGGAAATCCCTGTTGGAGGCCCGCTTCCGTGGCCTTTTGGGGTTGTTTCTTGGCTGTTTTCTCCCTCTTTCTCAGCCCCCAAATCCCTCTTTTTCACCCCAAACTCCCTTCTCCTCCTCATCCCGGCCCTTTTTGAGGGTGTTCTCCCACTCGAGCATCCTTATCCCACACTTTCTGCAGCGGGAGCTGGGCCTCGCTCCATCCCCTCCGGCCACTGAGTTCCAGGCTTGGATTGGAGGTGCACACCACTTCTCCCTCCTTCCCAGCGCCAGGAATGTCCCCTCCTCCTCCTCCTCCTCCTCCTCCACAGCTGAAACTTGTTCTTTTTTAGTGCCTTTTTCCCCCTTTTCCCCCTCTTTTTTGCATCCCGTTTCCAACTGAGAACAATGGAATGGGATGGGGGGGACGACGACACCCATCCACCACCCCAATCCCACACCAAAACCCCTTCAAACCAGCCCCGAAGTTGCTTTCCCCCCGCTGTAGTGCAAACAAAGCTGGAACCCCCCCCCAAAAGAGCCTGAGGAAGGATTTTCCATGGTGTTTCCCCACTTCCAGGCCGGATTTTCTCCCCTTTCCCCCCCTTTTTTCCAGCCACCTCCCCTCGTCCTTTGTTCCAACTCCTCATTTCCTCCTTTTACACAATCACTCCGCCTCACTCCGAACCCTCCCCCCCCTTATCCCTGTTTTATCCCTGTTTTATCCCCATTTCCATGCATTTTCTCCCTGTTTTCCAACCGGGGGGGGGGAGGGGGGGCAGTTCGGTTGTTGCTTTGTTACAGGCGGAGGATGGGTGTTCTCTGTCACCCCCCCCCCCCACACCCCCCCCCGTTTGCTCCGGTTGTCTACGTGGTTTCTCCTTCCTCCCTCTCGAGGTGTGGGGAGCATCACGTGCATGGAATATTCTCGGGAATGCTTTGCCAACAGCGCATGTCTATGGGAAAAGGGGGGGGGAAGGGGGGTGCGTGTGTGTGTGTGTGTTGGGGGGCAACACCCCCACAATGGCAGGCTTGGGCCCGGTGATCGGTTGTACGCCCCAAGGGGATGGCGGTAACGGGATGAAGGGTGGGTTTGGGGGTGTTGAACGCCCCCGTTGTTGGTGTGTGGGGGTGTGTGTGTGTGGGGGGTGTTGTTATCCGGGTGTTGTGGTGGGATCTGGGTGGTCTCAGGGCCGCCGCCTGTCCCCATCCCTTGCCAACAGCGCTCTGGCAGCTGCCTGACAGCCGGTGCCAAGGGATTAAGGCTGGAATGTGACCCCGGCGGCGCCGGGTGTTGTTTCCTCTCCCGACGCCAAGCTTGGCACCCGGCGTCACCCTCAATGTGTCCCCCCCCATCGTCGTCCCCCCCCCTTTTCCTCGGGGACAGCCGGGGCTTCCCTGTGACCTGTCAGCGAACGCCGGCTGTGATGGATGGGGGCGTGCGGGTGACGTCGGGGTGGCCACGCGCCAACAGCCGCAGGGCAGACGGGACACCCGGTAACGGTGCCAAGGCCGTGACACGGATGGAGGTAGCAATGGCGGGGGGGGGCTGGGGGGTGTGGGTCACCGTCACCAACCGCCACCCCCCGCCGGGGGTTGTCCGTCACGGGGATGCCAATGGAAGGAGGCCAAAGGGGTTGGGAAATCCTCTGCTGGCTGTTGGTCAGCGGCACGGTGACACAGTGACACCAGTGTCACCCCCTGCAGTGAGGGGATGGAGAAGCCTCTGCTGGCTGTTGGTCACTGACGCAGTGACACTGGTGTCACCCCCCGCAGTGAAGGGATGGAGAAGCCTCTGCTGGATGTTGGTCACTGACACAGTGACACCGGTGTCACCCGGAATGGGTGGACGGGGAATGCTCTGCTGCTCTTGGTCACTGACACAGTGACACCAGTGTCACCCGGAATGGGTGGATGGGGAATGCTCTGCTGGCTGTTGGTCACTGACACAGTGACACTGGTGTCACCCGGAATGGGTGGATGGGGAATGCTCTGCTGGCTGTTGGTGACTGACACAGTGACACCAGTGTCACCCGCAGTGAGGGGATGGGGAAGCCTTTGCTGCCTGTTGGTCACAGTGGCACAGTGACACTGGTGTCACCCAGAATGGGTGGATGGGGAACGCTCTGCTGGCTGTTGGTCACTGGCACAGTGACATTGGTGTCACTCAGAATGAGTTGATGGGGAGTTCTCTGCTGGCTGTTGGTCCCTGTGATGGTGACACCGGTGTCATCTGGAATGGGTGGATGGGGAACGCTCTGCTGGCTGTTAGTCACTGGCACAGTGACATTGGTGTCACTCAGAATGAGTTGATGGGGAGTTCTCTGCTGGCTGTTGGTCAGTGACACAGTGACACAGTGACACTGGTGTCACCCGGAATGGGTGGATGGGGAACGCTCTGCTGGCTGTTGGTCCCTGTGACGGTGACACCGGTGTCACCTGGACACCGGTGTCACCTGGAATGGGTGCATGGGGAAAGCTCTGCTGGCTGTTGGTCCCTGTGACGGTGACACTGGTGTCACCTGGAATGGGTGGATGCGGAGTGCTCTGCTGGCTGTTGGTCCCTGTGAAGGTGACACCGGTGTCACCTGGAATGGGTGGATGGGGAACGCTCTGCTGGCTGTTGGTCCCTGTGATGGTGACACCGGTGTCACCTGGAATGGGTGGATGGGGAACGCTCTGCTGGCTGTTGGTCCCTTTGACGGTGACACCGGTGTCACCTGGAATGGGTGGATGAGGAACGCTCTGCTGGCTGTTGGTCCCTGTGACGGTGACACCGGTGTCACCTGGAATGGGTGGATGGGGAATGCTCTGCTGGCTGTTGGTTCCTGTGACGGTGACACCGGTGTCACCATCCTGGTGCCTTCGAAGGGATCTCATTGTGTCCCTGTCCGTCTGTCCCCCCCCCCCGTGTGTCACCTTTGGTGGCCGTGGGGAGGGCCTCATGTCCCCGTGTCCCCCCAGAAGGTGCTGAGGAGCTGTTGAGGGGCCTCGAGGGTGCTCTTGGGGTGAAGAAGAAGAAACGGGGCCCCCGGAAGCAGAAGGAAAACAAACCTGGAAAACCACGGAAAAGGAAAAAGCTGGTGAGGAACCAATGGGTGGTGGGAGAGGGGATGGGAGAGATGGGATGGGTGAGATGGGGTGGGAGAGATGGGTGAGATGGGATGGGAGAGATTGGAGATGGGATGGGAGATGTGGGAGATGGGTGAAATGGGAGATGGGATGGGAGATGTGGGAGATGGGATGGGTGAGATGGGAGATGGGATGGGTGAGATGGGAGATGGGATGGGAGGGATGGGTGATGGGAGATGGTATGGGAGATGTGGGAGATGGGATGGGTGAGATGGGAGATGGGATGGGAGGGATGGGTGATGGGACATGGGATGGGTGGTGGGACATGGGATGGGTGATATGGGTTGGGTGATGGGACATGGGATGGGTGGTGGGACATGGGATGGGTGATAAGGGTTGGGTGATGGGACATGGGATGGGTGGTGGGACATGGGATGGGTGATATGGGATGAGTGATGGGGGTCCTGGTGTAGTTGATGATGTTCTTAGGATGTCTAGTGGTAGTCTTGGGATGGCCAGTGGTGGTTTTGGGAGTGAACAATAGGAGTCTTGGGTTGGCCAGTGGGGGTCTTGAGATGGCCAATGGTGGTCCTGGGATGGCCAATGGTGGTCTTGAGGTGTCCAATGGTGGTCTTGGGATGACCAATAGGAGTCTTGGGATGGCCAGTGGTGGTGTTGGGATGGCCAGTGGTGGTCTTGGGATGACCAGTGGGGTTGTTGGGATGGCCAGTGGTGGTGTTGGGATGGCCAGTGGTGGTGTTGGGATGGCCAGTGGTGGTGTTGGGATGGCCAATGGTGGTGTTGGGATGGCCAGTGGTAGTGTTGGGATGGCCAATGGTGGTTTTGGGATGGCCAATGGTAATGTTGGGATGCCCAGCGGTGGTGTTGGGATGTCCAGCGGTGGTGTTGGGATGTCCAGCGGTGGTGTTGGGATGTCCAGCGGTGGTGTTGGGATGTCCAGCGGTGGTGTTGGGATGTCCAGCGGTGGTGTTGGGATGTCCAGCGGTGGTGTTGGGATGTCCAGCGATGGTGTTGGGATGTCCAGCGGTGGTGTTGGGATGTCCAGCGGTGGTGTTGGGATGCCCAGCGGTGGTGTTGGGATGGCCAGCGGTGGTGTTGGGATGGCCAGCGGTGGTGTTGGGATGGCCAGCGGTGGTGTTGGGATGGCCAGCGGTGGTGTTGGGATGGCCAGCGGTGGTGTTGGAATGTCCAGATGTGGTGTTGGGATGGCCAGTGGTGGTGTTGGGATGGCCAGTGGTGGTGTTGGGATGTCCAATGGTGGTGTTGGGATGTCCAGATGTGGTGTTGGGATGTCCAGATGTGGTGTTGGGATGTCCAGATGTGGTGTTGGGATGTCCAGCGGTGGTGTTGGGATGTCCAGCGGTGGTGTTGGGATGCCCAGCGGTGGTGTTGGGATGCCCAGCGGTGGTGTTGGGATGGCCAGCGGTGGTGTTGGAATGTCCAGATGTGGTGTTGGGATGGCCAGTGGTGGTGTTGGGATGGCCAGTGGTGGTGTTGGGATGTCCAATGGTGGTGTTGGGATGGCCAGATGTGGTGTTGGGATGTCCAGATGTGGTGTTGGGATGTCCAGATGTGGTGTTGGGATGTCCAGCGGTGGTGTTGGGATGTCCAGCGGTGGTGTTGGGATGGCCAATGGTGGTGTTGGGATGCCCAGCGGTGGTGTTGGGATGCCCAGCGGTGGTGTTGGGATGCCCAGTGGTGGTCTCGGGGTGGCTGATGGAGCCCCGTGACGTTGTTAACACCCGCAGCGACGGGTGACAGCCCCGCTGGGTGGTGACAGCGCCGTGGCGGGCCCTGTCCTGTGCGCAGGTGAGCGAGGATGAGCTGGAGTCGGAGCGGGAGGAATTCCAGCGGGAGGAATACCGGGAGAAGTCAGAGAGCGGCGGGAGCGAGTCGGGGGGGGGCACCCGGAAGCGGCGCCGGAAGCATCGCGACAAGAAGGACAAGAAGACCAAGAGGAGGAAAAAGGCTGATGAGGATGGGGGGCAGAAGGTCAAGGTATGGGCCATGGGGGGCACCATCACTGTGTGTGGGTCCCATTGCCAATGGGGTGGCTACGGGAGTCCCACTGCCATAGGGGTGCCATTGCCGTAGGGGTGATGTTTGGGGTCCCATTGCCATCGGAGTACAATTGCCATAGGGGTGATGTTGGAGGTTCCCATTGCCTTGGGGGTCCCATTGCCATAGGGGTGCCATTGCCATAGGGGTGGCCATGGGGGTCCCCTTGCCAGAGGGGTGGCTATGGAGGTCCCATTGCCATAGGGGTCCCATTGCCATAGGGGTGGCTATGGGAGTCCCGTTGCCATAGGGGTGATGTTGGGCGTCTCATTGCCTTAGGGGTCCCATTGCCGTAGGGGAGGCTATGGGGATCCCAGTGCCATAGGGGTGATGTTGGGGGTCTCATTGCCTTAGGGGTCCCATTGCCATTGGGGTGGCTATGGGAGTCCCATTGCCCTTGGGGTGACTGTGGGGGTCCCATTGCCATAGGGGTGATGTTGGGGATCTCATTGCCTTTTGCCATAGGGGTGATGTTGGGGGTCTCATTGCCTTAGGGGTCCCATTGCCATAGGGGTGATGTTGGGGGTCTCATTGTCTTAGGGGTGATGTTGGGGGTCCCATTGCCATAAGGGTGGCTATGGGAGTCCCATTGCCATAGGGGTGCCATTGCCATAGGGGTGACTGTGGGGGTCCCATTGCCTTAGGGGTGACTTTGGGAGGGCCATTGCCATAGGGGTGTCATTGCCATAAGGATGACTGTGGGGGTCCCATTGCCATAAGGGTGACTGTGGGGATCCCATTGCTGTGTGGGGGTACCATTGCCATGGGGGTTCTGTTGCCATAGGGGTGACTTTGGGGGTCCCATTGCCATGAAGATGCCATTGCCATAGAGGTCCCATTGCCATAGGGATGACCATGGGGTGCCATTTTTGTAGGGGTGACTCTGGAGATCCTATTGCCCTAGGTGTTATTAGGGGGGTCCCATTGCCATGGGGGTGCCATTGCAATAGGGGTGATTGTGGGAGTCCCATAGCCGTAGGGGTAACCATGGGGTGCCATTGCTATGGGGTGACTGTGGGAGTCCCATTGCCATGGGGGTTCCATTGCCATAGGGGTGACTGTGGGAGTCCCATTGCCATAGGGGTGACCATGGGGTGCCATTGGTATGGGGTGACTGTGGGAGTCCCATTGCCATAGGGGTCCCTGTAGGGGTCCCATTGCCATGGGGGTGCCATTGCAATAGGGGTGATTGTGGGAGTCCCATTGTCGTAGGGGTAACCATGGGGTGCCATTGCTATGGGGTGACTGTGGGAGTCCCATTGCCATGGGGGTTCCATTGCCATAGGGGTGATTGTGGGAGTCCCATTGCCATAGGGGTGACCATGGGGTGCCATTGCTATGGAGTGACTGTGGGAGTCCCATTGCCATAGGGGTCCCTGTGGGGGTCCCATTGCCATGGGGGTTCCATTGCCATAGGGGTGACTGTGGGAGTCCCATTGGCATAGGGGTGACCATGGGGTGCCGTTGCTATAGGGGTGACTGGGGGGGTCCTGTTGCCATAGGGATGACCATGGGGTGCCATTTTTGTAGGGGTGACTCTGGAGATCCTATTGCCCTAGGTGTTATTAGGGGGGTCCCATTGCCATGGGGGTGCCATTGCAATAGGGGTGATTGTGGGAGTCCCATTGCCGTAGGGGTAACCATGGGGTGCCATTGCTGTGGGGTGACTGTGGGAGTCCCATTGCCATGGGGGTTCCATTGCCATAGGGGTGACCGTGGGAGTACCATTGCCATAGGGGTGACCATGGGGTGCCATTGCTATAGGGGTGACTGGGGGGGTCCTGTTGCCATAGGGATGACCATGGGGTGCCATAGCTGTCAGGGTGATTATGGGGGTCCCATTGCCATTGGGGTCCCATTGCCATAGGGATGACCATGGGGTGCCATAGCTGTCAGGGTGATTATGGGTGTCCCATTGCCATAGGGGAGACTGGGAGAGTGCCATTGCCGTAGGGGTGACCATGGGGGTGCCATCATTCATGTGGGTGCCCAAGAGGGTGCTGTCCTCCCTGTGGGTCCATGTGGGTCCCCCATCTCCCCCCCCATGTCCCCATTGACCCCAATGTCCCCCTGATGCAGGCGGTGGAGCAGAAGTCCTCAGCTCAGCTGCTGGGGGCCTGGGGGCTGGAGGACGTGGACCACGTCTTCACCGAGGAGGACTATCACACCCTCACCAACTACAAGGCCTTCAGCCAGTTCATGAGGTGGGCAGGGGGGGGCCCTTTGGGTATTGGGGGGCACCTATGGGTCCTTGGGCTCCAGCCGGCCCATCTTCGGGGTGCTTTCGTGGGGTCCGTTGAAGCACCGTGGTCCAAAAGAGCTCGTTGAGGAGCATCAGCATCCCGTGGTACCCAAACCCCTCAGTGTCCTGCATCCCTTTTGGTCCTTAAGCATCTCTCTGGGTGCTTATGGGGCTCCTTTTAGGTCATTGCTGTAGGGCACGGATGTCAGTGAGGAGCATCAGCACCCCGTGGTACCCAAACCCCTCAGTGCCGCGCATCCCTTTTGATCCTTAAGCATCTCTCTGGGTACTTATGGGGCTCCTTTTAGGTCACTGCTATGGGGCAAGGATGTCAGCGAGGAGCATCAGCACTCTGTGGTACCCAAACCCCTCAGTGCCCTGCATCCCTTTTGGTCCTTAAGCATCTCTCTGGGTGCTTATGGGGCTCCTTTTAGGTCACTGCTATGGGGCAAGGATGTCAGTGAGGAGCATCAGCACCCCGTGGTACCCAAACCCCTCAGTGCCCTGCATCCCTTTTGATCCTTAAGCATCTCTCTGGGTGCTTATGGGGCTCCTTTTTGGTCATTGCTGTGGGGCAAGGATGTCAGTGAGGAGCATCAGCACCCCGTGGTACCCAAACCCCTCAGTGCCCTGCATCCCTTTTCGTCCTGAAGCATCTCTCTGGGTGCTTATGGGGCTCCTTTTTGGTCATTGCTATGGGGCAAGGATGTCAGCGAGGAGCATCAGCACTCTGTGGTACCCAAACCCCTCAGTGCCCTGCATCCCTTTTGGTCCTTAAGCATCTCTCTGGGTGCTTATGGGGCTCCTTTTAGGTCACTGCTATGGGGCAAGGATGTCAGTGAGGAGCATCAGCACCCTGTGGTACCCAAACCCCTCAGTGCCCTGCATCCCTTTTGGTCCTTAAGCATCTCTCTGGGTGCTTATGGGACTCCTTTTTGGTCACTGCTATGGGGCAAGGATGTCAGTGAGGAGCATCAGCACCCCGGGGTACCCAAACCCCTCAGTGCCCTGCATCCCTTTTGGTCCTTAAGCATCTCTCTGGGTACTTATGGGGCTCCTTTTAGGTCATTGCTGTAGGGCACGCATGTCAGAGAGGAGCATCAGCACCCCGTGGTACCCAAACCCCCTCAGTGCCGCGCATCCCTTTTGGTCCTTAAGCATCTCTCTGGGTGCTTATGGGGCTCCTTTTTGGTCATTGCTGTGGGGCAAGGATGTCAGCGAGGAGCATCAGCACCCCGTGGTACCCAAACCCCTCAGTGTCCTGCATCCCTTTTGGTCCTTAAGCATCTCTCTGGGTGCTTATGGGGGTCCTTTTAGGTGATCTCACGGTGCTGGGGATCCCATCAGTGTGTTTTGGGGGGGCCCATCTCTGTTTTGGGCTCCTGGTGGCCCATTTGGGGTACTCTTGTGGGGTCCAGTGAAAGCCCTTGGTCCGAAAGAGCTCATTGAGGAGCATCAGCATCCCGTGGTACCCAAACCCCCTCAGTGCCGCGCATCCCTTTTGGTCCTTAAGCATCTCTCTGGGTGCTTATGGGGCTCCTTTTAGGTCATTGCTGTAGGGCACGGATGTCAGCGAGGAGCATCAGCATCCCGTGGTACCCAAACCCCTCAGTGCCCTGCATCCCTTTTGGTCCTTAAGCATCTCTCTGGGTACTTATGGGGCTCCTTTTAGGTCATTGCTATGGGGCAAGGATGTCAGCGAGGAGCATCAGCACCCCGTGGTACCCAAACCCCTCAGTGCCCTGCATCCCTTTTGGTCCTTAAGCATCTCTCTGGGTGCTTATGGGACTCCTTTTTGGTCACTGCTATGGGGCAAGGATGTCAGTGAGGAGCATCAGCACCCCGGGGTACCCAAACCCCTCAGTGCCCTGCATCCCTTTTGGTCCTTAAGCATCTCTCTGGGTACTTATGGGGGTCCTTTTAGGTCATTGCTATGGGGCAAGGATGTCAGCGAGGAGCATCAGCACCCCGTGGTACCCAAACCCCTCAGTGCCCTGCATCCCTTTTGGTCCTTAAGCATCTCTCTGGGTGCTTATGGGACTCCTTTTTGGTCACTGCTATGGGGCAAGGATGTCAGTGAGGAGCATCAGCACCCCGTGGTACCCAAACCCCTCAGTGCCCTGCATCCCTTTTGGTCCTTAAGCATCTCTCTGGGTGCTTATGGGGGTCCTTTTAGGTCATTGCTATGGGGCAAGGATGTCAGCGAGGAGCATCAGCACCCCGTGGTACCCAAACCCCCTCAGTGCCGCGCATCCCTTTGGGTGCCCCCCCCCCCCCAGCCTCTTTCCCTTGCCCCCCGCAGGCCGCTGATCGCCAAGAAGAACCCCAAGATCCCCATGTCCAAGATGATGACCATCCTGGGGGCCAAGTGGAGGGAGTTCAGCGCCAACAACCCCTTCAAGGGCTCCGCTGCCGCCGTGGCCGCCGCTGCCGCCGCCGCCGCCGCCGCCGTGGCCGAGCAGGTCTCTGCGGCCGTGGCCAGCGTGGCCCCCGAGGCCCCCGCGCCCCCCCTGCGCAAGGCCAAGACCAAGGAGGGCAAAGGTGGGTGGGGGGGGATGGCCCCGGGGTGAAGGGGGGTGGCCCCATAGTGAAGGGGGGCAGCCCCATAGTGAAGGGGGCCAGTCCCATAGTGAAGGGGGCAGCACCATGGTGAAGGGGGGCAGCCCCATAGTGAAGGGGGGCAGCACCATAGTGAAGGGGGGCAGTCCCATAGTGAATGGGGGCAGCACCATAGTGAAGGGGGGCAGCACCATAGTGAAGGGGGCAGTCCCATAGTGAAGGGGGGCAGTCCCATAGTGAAGGGGGCAGCACCATAGTGAAGGGGGGCAGCACCATAGTGAAGGGGGCAGCACCATAGTGAAGGGGGCAGCCCCATAGTGAAGGGGGGCAGCACCATAGTGAAGGGGGCAGTCCCATAGTGAATGGGGGCAGTCCCATAGTGAAGGGGGGCAGCCCCATAGTGAAGGGGGGCAGTCCCATAATGAAGGGGGGCAGCACCATAGTGAAGGGGGCAGTACCATAGTGAAGGGGGCAGCACCATAGTGTAGGGGGCAGTCCCATAGTGAAGGGGGGCAGCACCATAGTGAAGGGGGGCAGCCCCGGAGTGAAGGGGGGGCAGCCCGATAGTGAAGGGGGGGCAGCCCCGGAGTGAATAGGGACCTCCATAGTGAATGGGCAGCCCCATAGTGAATGGGGCCTGTCCCAGAGTGAAGGGGGGCAGCACCATAGTGAAGGGGGCAGCCCCATAGTAAAGGGGGCAGCCCCATAGTGAAGGGTGGCAGTCCCATAGTGAATGGGGTCAGCCCCATAGTGAAGGGGGGCAGCCCCATAGTGAAGGGGGGCAGCCCCATAGTGAAGGGGGGCAGTCCCATAGTGAAGGGGGCAGCCCCATAGTGAAGGGGGGCAGCCCCATAGTGAAGGGGGCAGCACCATAGTGAAGGTGGGCAGCACCATAGTGAAGGGGGCAGCCCCATAGTGAAGGGGGGCAGCACCATAGTGAAGGGGGGCAGTCCCATAGTGAAGGGGGCAGCACCATAGTGAAGGGGGCAGCCCCATAGTGAAGGGGGGCAGCCCCATAGTGAAGAGGGGCAGTCCCATAATGAAGGGGGGCAGCACCATAGTGAAGGGGGCAGCACCATAGTGTAGGGGGCAGTCCCATAGTGAAGGGGGCAGCACCATAGTGAAGGGGGGTAGCCCCATAGTGAAGGGGGGCAGTCCCATAGTGAAGGGGGGCAGCACCATAGTGAAGGGGGCAGTCCCATAGTGAAGGGGGGCAGCCCCATAGTGAAGGGGGGCAGTCCCATAGTGAAGGGGGGCAGTCCCATAGTGAATGGGGGCACCCCCATAGTGAAGGGGAGCACCCCCGTAGTGAATGGAGG